GTCACATTTGCGCAAGAGAATACAAGTCCTTCTCCATTATTTGTCGTATCTCTTCCGAGCGTATTAAATCATGGCTCTCCACAATGTTCTCTCCTTCGTAGATCTTAATAATTTTTGTCTTTTTGTTATTTCTCCTAAACCTTGCTCCATCATGCATTTACACAGCCTCACTAAATATGGTATACGTGGTTTTCCTCTGCTCGTTTTACCTTCAATCTGTCTTGTGAGTATCAAATTTTCCAACCTCTCTTTCCTCATTATATACCCTAGAAATTTCAACTATCTATTCCAGATGTTAAGTATAAGTTATAATTTTGAGTCCATTTTCTCTTAATATCCTCGGTCCATGATATCCTCAGCATCCTTCTGTTGAATCACAATCCTTTTGTTTCAAGTCTCTTATTCATTAATCGTCTTAAAGAAATTGCCTTGCCTTCCAACTGGCTGATGTTATCTTCTAAGAGTGAATCTCACTTCGACTTTTCGGTCTCATGTTGTTGACTGGCATAATGTGGACTATATTGAATCGGTTGATAAGTCTAATGTTATGAAGATCAGTTCATTATGCTGTGCTAAACAATTTTTCCTTTTCGTTGCTCACATATTCGGTCCGTGGTATCCTCATCATTCTTCTGTAGAACCACAATTCTCTTGCTTCGAGCTTCATCTTCATCTTCAGGTAGGTTTTTTTTTCGCAGTAGGTTGCCATTTCTTTCTGCTGTAGACCAGTTGCCATCCAAGGCTATAGATCACGGTCTGTTCTGCTGGGGGGAAGAAGAAGAGGATTCATACCTTTCCCAATGGTATTAGCACGTAAGTGAATGTAATGGATTCGACTGGAATTTGAACTACAAGGAATCAGTCAGTTATTTGCCATGCGTGATATACGCTTAGGCGAGCATTTATCTTTCGATACATGACTGACGAGGCAGTTTTTTCCGCAGTAGGTTGCCATTTCTTTCTTCGGTAGACCAGTTGCCATCCAAGGCTATAGAATCCGGTCTGTCCTGCTATTTACTCATAGCTGGTGGAAGAAGAGGAGTATTCATACCTTTCCCAATGGTATTAGCACGTAAGTGAATGTGATGGATTCGACTGGAATTCGAACTCGGCTCTCCGATACCTCAATTCGAGAAACAAAGAAAAAAATTACTGAACTGTTAGAGTAATGGATAGCGACTTGGTTCTCCGATTCCTCAATCGGAGTCGCTATCCATCACTCCAAACAGTTCAGTAATCTTTTCTTTGTTTCTAACGAAGTTTTACTATTTCTTAATACCCTGCTTAGCTTTTGGAATGCAACTTTGTCTATCCCAATGCAACTTCGGATTTCAGCATTGTACTTATATAAGACCTAAACATGATTAAAAACAACACCCGCTTTTCCCATATTTGAGAATGTATCAGGCGATGGCATTGATGGAACTGAGTCGCAATCATAATTAGATAAATGTTACTTTCAAAGAATGTTTAGTCAATGTGCGTACTTTTCATTTTTTTTTTTTTTTTGCATTGGTCACATTAGTCACATTGAAAAAAAAAAGAAAAAGATTAACATCTTGCCATGAGCCTAATGCCAAAATTTCTCAACCTAGTTAAGGAACGGTACGCCTAGGAGCAAATGAAAATATCACGGCACACGTAGCAACATTTTTAAAAGGTATACATTTAAATGTCATGAAATGAAACCATAAAGTTTGAATTAAACAATGTTGAATATAATTATAGGAAAAAAAAAAGGTTAACATTCGTTTAATCAAATAAAGAAAAAAAATTTTGAAAGTTAAATTAAAAAAATAAAAATACTTTCTTAAAAAATGAAGTATTTAAAATAACATAATCGAAAAATAGTAAAAAAAATTATTTGTAAAAAGTTTAATTCTTATTCAAACACTAACGCTGTGCCATTACTACTTTCATACACACATATATATGTATGCCGTGACAATATTTCGTGGCACATTCAAGAGGATCGCATGGCACACGTGTGTACCGCGGCCCGACTGTTGAGAATCATTGGCCTAATTTTTATGTAAAGGAGCGTCTTTTCCTTGCCATTCACTATTGTTGAACAAGGGAGCAGCATTTAGGGGTTGATATATAATTAATATATATATATAAATAATTTAGTAATATATATATATATATATATTACTAAATTATTTTAAAATTTTTATATATATATATATATGTTTACTTATATATATATATATATATATATATATATAAGCAAAAATATATGGATATAGATCCGACAGTATGAAGAAAATATACGGAAAAAAACAAACAAAATCCTATATACAATTATGCTGTTTTAATGTTAATATGTCAACGTCGGACGTTTCGGTCTAATAAACCATCTTCAGGACATATTCATAAAATATAATTAACGTCTTTGTCCTGTTGAATTGATAATGTTAATTATATTTTATGAATATGTCCTGAAGATGGTTTATTAGACCAAAACGTCCGACGTTGACATATTAACATTAAAAGAGCATAATTGTATATAAGGATTTTTGTTTGTTTTTTCCGAATATTTTTCTTCATATATATATATATATATATATATATATATATATATATATATATATATATATATATAGGTAGACATTGACGTCAACACAGACTCTTTCATACTTCAAAAATATAAAAATCAAGAATCTTTAAAAGTGAAAATCTGATTTACGCAGCACCACCACCGCATGCGTCTTAGTGGCTTTATTGCCTTGCTTGGAGTGAGATGATTAAAATATATCCAAGAGTGGGCTTAAAAATTCAGAGGTTGACTCTGAAGGAGCAATTCTCGAGCTGTGTTGTTTTGCATGCCGAAAGTAAATACATAGTATATACAAGTAAATGGGTTAATATTAGGTGGTGTAATGGATAGCGGCACGGATTGAGGAATCGGAGGGCCGAGTTCGAATTCCAGTCGAATTCATTATATTCACTTACGTGTTAATACCCTTAGGCAAGGTATGAAACCTCTTTTTCCCCATCAGCTATGGGTAAATAGCAGGACAGGCCGGGATCTTTCGCCTTGGATAGCAACTGGTCTACCGGAGAAAGAAATGGCAACCTACTGCGGGAAAAAAAATCTGACTCGTCAGTCATGTATTGAAAAAATAATGATCGCCTAAGCGTGTATCACACATAACTGAACTGATAGAATTTGCCTAGAAAATAAGAAGGAAAGTGATTGTCAAGAGGCATTAATGGAGGCGTTACTGATAGACTAGGGCGATTACTTGTATAATTAGTGTTGTTTTTCTTTTCTTTATAAGCTTGCCAATAAGAAAAAGAAAATTAAGTACGATGAGAATCTTTTGTCAGATGTTATCAGGTTTCTGTAAAACAAAATGAAGAAACAGAACAAATAAAATAAATGATTAGACAAAAGTTAACTTTGAGTCCAATGTGCTAATTTCTTTGCAAATTTGTCATTAATAACGAAGGATATAGAGAATTGAATTTGTCTCGTAAATAGAATTTTGCATTTCTCTGTATTGTTCTCTTTTCTTTCCGACATTAACTTTTTCTTTCTTTCTTTCTTTCTTTCTTTCTTTCTTTCTTTCTTTCTTTTAAATTTCTTTCTTTCTTTCTAAATTTCTTTCTTTCTTTCTAAATTTCTTTCTTTCTTTCTTTCTTTTTTCTTTTTCTTTCTTTCTTTCTTTCTTTCTTTATTTCTTTCTATCTTTCTTTCTAAATTTCTTTCTAAATTTCTTTCTTTCTAAATTTCTAAATTTCTTTCTTTCTAAATTTCTTTCTAAATTTCATTCTTTCTTTCTTTTTTTTTTAAATTTCATTCTTTCTTTCTTTTTTCTTTCTTTTTTCTTTCTTTTTTCTTTTTAAATTTCATTCTTTCTTTCTTTCTAAATTTCTTTCTTTCTAAATGTCTTTCTTACTAAATTTGTTTCTTTCTAAATTTGTTTCTTTCTAAATTTCTTAATTTCTTTCCAAATTTCTTTCTAAATTTCTTTCTTTCTAAATTTCTTTGTTTCTTTCTAAATTTCTTTCTAAATGTCTTTTTTTCTAAATTTCTTTCTTTCTAAATTTCTTTCTTTCTTTCTTTCTAAATTTCTTTCTAAATTTCATTCTTTCTTTCTTTTTTCTTTCTTTTTTTCTTTCTAAATTTCATTCTTTCTTTCTTTCTAAATTTCTTTCTTTCTTTCTAAATTTCTTTCTAAATGTCTTTCTTTCTAAATTTCATTCTTTCTTTCTTTTTTCTTTCTTTTTTTCTTTCTAAATTTCATTCTTTCTTTCTTTCTAAATTTCTTTCTTTCTAAATGTTTTTCTTACTAAATTTGTTTCTTTCTAAATTTGTTTCTTTCTAAATTTGTTTCTTTCTAAATTTCTTAATTTCTTTCCAAATTTCTTTCTAAATTTCTTTCTTTCTAAATTTCTTTGTTTCTTTCTAAATTTCTTTCTTTCTTTCTAAATTTCTTTCTAAATTTCTTTCTTTCTTTCTAAATTTCTTTCTAAATTTCTTTCTTTCTTTCTAAATTTCTTTGTTTCTAAATTTCTTTGTTTCTTTCTAAATTTCTTTCTTTTTAAATTTCTTTCTTTCTTTCTTTCTAAATTTCTTTCTTTTTTCTTTCTTTCGTAGTAAATTTTTTCATTTCTTTCTTAATTGTTGCCTTTATTTAATGATACCTTTTTAAATCTGATTTTTTCTTTCTTTTATCCTCTCTTATTAAATGTTTGTCTTTCCTTCTTGGTTTCTTTGGAAGTTTCTTTCTTTACAATTTTTTTCTTAGTTTTCTTTTGGAAATTTCTTTCTTTTTTCCGTTCATTTCTTTCTTTCTAAATTTCTTTCTAAATTTCTTTCTTTTTCTGTAAATTTCTTTCTTTCTCCCTAAATTTTCGCCTTTCTTTCTAAAGGTTTTACATTCCATTTGTTTGCCTTTCTTTCTTAAGATCTTTTTAAATTTTTTTCATTCATTGATTCTTTCTTTGTTTTCTCTCTTTATAATTACTTCCATTTCCAGCCTTTCACTCTCATGATCTATCTATCTATCTATCTATCTATCTATCTATCTATCTATCTATCTATCTATCTATCCCAAAAGATGTCAGATTGCTAGAAATGGTGTGGTTGGATGATTGGGTTGTGTATAAATAGATTGTTTGCACTGAAAATCGGAATGACTCGGAAGTGTTAATCAGGGAGCCGAGTTTTAATTTCAGACCAATTCGTTATATTACGCGCAAATAACCTTGGGAAAGGTGTGAATCCAACTCTTCTCTCCCTAGGTATTGGTTAATTAGCAGGTATTGTATCAGTAAATGTTGGGGGCGGGGTCTTGGGAAAATACCGAAACAGCAAAACCTCTGCCTTTTTTAATCCTCTGCTTGTCGACCTCTCTGACTCTGGGCAAAAGGGAAACCAGGATATGTCGATGGGCAGAATTTCGTTTGGGGAAGTAGACAGCTACCCGAACTTATGTATACGGGGTTTACGGGCAATTTTTGCCCGAGCCTACGGGCTCAGAATCCCTCTCATCACCCCCACATAAAATAACCGACCTTGTGCCACATCTCGCCTTGTTGGGAGGTCTCCAGTAAATACCGAGACAGCAAAAGCAGTATTTAGCGGTCGACTGAAAAAAAATGCAGTATGGTTGGGTAATGGATATTTGGCTCTGATTGAGGAATCGGAGAGCCGAGTTCAAATTCAAGTCGAATCCATTACATTCACTTACGTGCTAATACCCTTGGGAAAGGTATGAATCCTCTTCTTCTTCCCCGCCCCCGGCTATGGGTAAATAGGACAGACATGTTTCTATATATAGCCTTGGTCTACCGCAGAAAAAATGACAACCTACTGCGGGAAAAATCTGCCTCGTTAGTGATGTATCGAAAGAGACATGATCACCTAAGTTTGTATCACGCATGGCACAAAACTGACTGATTCTGCAGCTGGACTTAATCTAAGAGCGACTGAACTCAAGTAATAGGCACATTACAAAAAGACTATTCTTTTTTTAGGAATGGATTGACATTTTTCACTGTAAATGTCTTCTTTCTTTTTTCAATTGGATTTATCGAGCATTTTAGTTTTGTTAGAGAGTAGCTAATAGTTCTTGTAATTTTTCTTCTTACTCACATTTTTGACGATCAATATTTCTATAAGTTTTTTGGACATCTGTGAAAACTTTCCGTCGCCCTTTCTTGCTTAACATAGCGTGATTGATATCCATCGTCTTCCGGAACGGGTTTTCGGCACCTCATGCACCGTCCCATCAGATCTCAAATTATCTCGAATTCGTGAGATTGTAAGCCGCGTGGGTAGATCTGAATGAAACTCTCTTTGATACCGCCTTTGAACTTCAACTGCATTTTCATACTTCCAGTGGCGTTTCTATGATGAACTTTCTTTGTTGAAAGCTAAGCCTGGGGGGCATTAATAATACTAGCGTGTAAGTCTGAAAAACAAGCAAGTTGACTTGAGCTACGCACTGTAAAAGCATGATATTCACTAACCGCCCCACGCGGTCAGATGTGGTACAAGGCCAAGTTTATTGTCGGATATCCGAGCCAGTATCCTAGGTCAAAAATTTCCCGTAGAAAACGAAGCCGGGTACCTGTCTCCCGAGACAAGACTCTGCCCCTCGACATAGCCTCGTCTGGGGATCCTCTCTGCCCAGAAGCAGAGAGTTTGACCAGTATAGTTGGAGACGTATCTCCAACTGCAGGATATCTACCAACTGCCCCACGCGGTCAGATGTGGCACAATGTGGGGTATCCTAGCCAGTATGCTCGGCCAAAGTTCCGTAGACCCCGTAGAAAACGGAGTCGTGTAGCTGTTTCCCCGAGACGCGACTCTGCCCTTCGACATAGCCTCGTTTGGGGATCCTTTCTGCCTCCGAGTAGCGTGTTTGACCAGTACAGCTGGAGACGAATCTCCAACTGCAGGATATCTACCAACCGCCCCACATAGAATTTTATGTGGGGTATCCGAGCTCGTAAGAAGAGGGTCGGGTAGATGTCTGCCCTTCGACATAGCCTCGTCTGTGGATCCTCTCTTCCAGGAGGTAGAAAGTTTGACCAGCACTCTCCGAAGTAATACGGATAAAAGTGTGTATACTTTTTTTAGACGCCCTGTATATATAAGACGCTTGTTATAGTACCATTGTTAAGCTAGATTATTGCGTGTGTAGTAGCTTAACTTATTTCTATGAGCCAGTCAATAAATCCGTTCTTTTACACCCTGACATGTACTATCTTTCATATCTCTTTGTTCTTAGCCTATCATCCTTTCATTTGTATTTTCTTCTCTTTCTATAGAATCCTCTTTCTTCTATACTTTACAATCTCCTATTTGTTTCTTTCAGCGTCTCTTTCATTTTTTTTTCAATTTTTCTTTCCTGTTTTCTTCCATCTTAATATTAATCCGTTTCAGTGCAAAAGGGCTATGCCCAAAGCGACTGTACAAATATTTTAAACGTAATAAGTTTGAACAAGCCTTCGTTGGCCTATATTACATTTGTGAACGAAATAGCGAGTGTACACCGGCGATAACAATCACTGACGTTTCTGTTAATGAGTTTGACAATAATTAACAAAAGCCATGGGGCCGCCAAAAGTCATTGCGCATGCGTATTCTCTCAATAAGATGGCCATATTTGATTTTTGCTCAGTTTCCATGATTTAAGAACGAGATGTTTTAGTAGAATCCCCAACACTGATTTGGGTGATGAAAGTTCAAAATACGACAACTGGCTGAACTATGTCAGGGTTAACAATGGACGTAACAGCTTTTTAATCTCACAATTGCATAAACAGGGGAAATAGTTATGACATACTGGTTAATTCAAGTGCCTCTTTACCCAATGGCTTCTTGGCATGTCAGCGACTAGATATTTTTGCCATTATATGTCGATGAAACAAAGCGCAGAGAGAAAGGCGTTCGTAGCCAGCCATCACAAAGGAATGTGGCCAAGTGAACACAAGACATTTCAACAGGGATTCAAACACTGCCGATTTCTTTTTCATAGCCACTTCGAAATCAAACAATTACTAATATATATATATATATATATATATATATATATTACATGAATCATTCATACAAAAAACAGATATAGAAGTTAATGATATAAATGGCGAGAATACAACTTCGCAAACAAATTTAATAAATTACATTAACCCCGAACCTGTAGATGAATGTTATAATCCCTGTTTATAAATTCCAGTTGCATAAGGTCTTTTTTAAATCTTTTTATAAGCTTTCATCTGTGCATACAGACATCATAAGGTATGGAAATAGATTTGTTTTTTACATCCCGGTAATAACAGGACAACGAAAGAATAAATGTAATCCGAAATATGTTTTTAGAAATGTGTTATTGTTAATTGTAAGAAATATATATATATATATATATATATATATATATATATGTATGTATGTATGTATGTATATGAATAAATATAGTTTTAAGGTGTGCTATATTTATGGGATAAAGTGCTCAATATCAGACATAGAGCGTATGAAATATAAATATAAAAGTGAACATTGAAGTCTATACACAGAGGCGACAGGCTGTTTAATGCTCGGCGCAATCGTCAAGTCGCCTGACGATTGCGCCTAGCATGAAACAACCTGTCGCCTGTCCGTGTTGACTTCAATGTTCACTTTATATATATATATTAAAGACATTTTTATGTTTAACGTTCTTTTTTATAGATACAAGTATTTAAGTAAATGCTCTGTTTATAATAAACAGTATTAAATAACATTTACCGGCCTGAATGCCTACCGAACGCTGCTTTGTTCGGCACGTCAGCATAAATGACGGTTCCGTATAGGATGCAGGTTCGAATCCTGTCAAAAGGACGAATATTTTCTATGAAAATTTCTCGGACATTCAGGCCGGTAAATGTTATTTAATACTGTTTATTATGAACAGAGCATTTACTTAAATACTTGTATCTATAAAAAAAAGAACGTTAAACATAAAAACGTCTTTAATAAATAAATTGTCGGACTTTGTCCATTTCTTAATATATATATATTAATCCGTTGGTATAATCCAGGCGAGTCCTATTAACACACTATAGAATTTGAAATATGTTAAAACTGACTCACAAAATAGCACTCACTGTTAATTTTCATTAAACAGAGTAAATTTTCTTTACAATTGGAATTAAGATACCTTTAGTAAATGACCTTTTTCACCTACGAAATTTAATTTTAAATTTTGCAGGATTTTACAAACTCTTTATGGTATCAGTTTATTATGTACTGCTTATTTGGAGAAAGAAAGAGAGAGAGAGAGGGGTGTTATTGGGGACCTATGGGGAGGTAAGGGGAGAAGAAGAAGAAGGCATCGTTACTGGAATCCTATTATAGAAGTAGGAGAGCCATTCGACGGGAATTAACGGAAATTAACGAAAACAGGAAAGAACAATTAAGAGGTAACTTTGGTAAAATGAAAGAGAATTAAAAAGGAATTATTAGTATTAAAGTCGTCCATATATCAGAATTCAAAGTCAGGGAATGTTTTTAAGGACTTAGAATGAATTTGAATATACAGTGTAACCCAAATATAAGAGACCCGGATATAAGAGAAACCCGGATATAAGCGACTTCTCCGGTCCCGGCAACTATCTTATATCCGGGTGACACTGTATATGTATTCGTTCTCATGCGTTTGTCTACTTTAATAATACCTACTCGTATAGCTATCTGCACTAACATACACTTAGATATCTACTTTAAGCACATACATACGCTAGCTGGAAGTGACTCTTTAAACTCTACCTATTAAATTCTTGGGTTAACTTATGTATCCAATGTAACCTATGTTAAGTATTAGGAAGTCTTCTTATAGTAGTAAAATTTGATTACCCAAGACTGGATATGCTGAATCGTATATAATGATTATATAGATTATAACGCTGAACTATATACATATATATGAAACTGTTAAATGTAGCCGTCTCTTCTTCTAAAATAGCTTCATGTCTCGCACTTCTCGCATGTGGAACTCCTACCCCTTTTCTTGTTTCCCTGATAGCTATAATCTCCAACTATTCAAATGTAATGTCAATCGACGTCTCCAGATGCCTTGATCTATCCCCTATCCTTCTCTTCATCCTTTCCTCTATCACTCCTATTTGCTCTCGCTCCAACTCTCTGTATCACCTTGCGTGCTAGTGGCTTCCCACCTCGCTTAAAAAAAAAAAAATTGGTGGAGATTTGATGCCCACATGTACTGGATATTCAGGATAAATCAAGAAATAAATCCAAGGATGGGAAAAGGAAATCGAAATAATTATAGTTGTGACGTCCCTAAACACAGCCTTCGCTCGATCCTCGCTGCTTCGTTCGGGTGTCGCCGCTCCAAACGTGACGTCCGCCTGTTTGCGTCAGTCGTGTTGTCCCGTCCTGTGACGACCAACTGGCTTGATATCGGTCGCGGCACCCAAATGTGACGTTCTAACTTTTTGGTGATTCGGATGGGAATCTGGTTAGATTCGATATCAGCCTCGTCGTTCCCAACTCACTTCCAACGTCTGGTTACCAAAGTAACTGCGTTGATCTCCAATCTGCCTACCCACGTTGTGAATTGATCTTAGGCAGACGAAATCAATCAGTAGTTGGGGCCGTAATGCAAATCGAGTTCAACGAGGGTGACACCGCACAAATATGCATAAAAGAAAATAAAATGATAACTCAAAAGTTCAAGGTATCAAAAAAAGGATAACAAAACTTTATGTCTAGTTGGTGGATACATAGGACTGCGTCTATCTCCCGACCCGCTATATGGATTGTGACACGTTGTTCTTTTGTTAGGCGAGTTTTAACACTTTAAGTTGTCTGTTCTTCAGGAAATTGGTTCTTGGTGTGTCTTCAGTGTAACCAAAGCAAAGAGAAACTTTAGTGGGGAAATTACTGAGGGTCATCAAGAATTATCCGTGACTTGTGGACGGAGGAGGGGTGTGTGTATGGACGGAAGAAGATGGGACATTGGTAAGAGTATAAAAAGAAGGGAGAAGTTAGATGTGCAGTGTGAGGGGTCATTGATTTTCATGATTATATTATATATTAATATATTTTATTGTTATCCGTTATTTATATAGACACGAATATTTAAGTACATTTAAGTGAATTACTGCTTTTAAACTACAAACTTCTCATGATTTCCCTCGAATGTTCATATCTGCTTGAAGCGTATCTTAATGTAAAAAAATGACGTCATATATTATAGGAAACTTTTAGTTTAAAATTCGACCTTGCTAACAAGACGCTTCCTTTGTAGCTAAACTGGTATAGCATGCCAGGCTATATGACGGTTTCGTGTAGGATACAGGCTCGATTCCTGTCGGAAAACATATATTTTCTATGAAATTTCACGGACATTCAGGCCGATAAATGTTGTTAATTCTGTTTATTATAAACAGAGCATTTACTTAAATATTTGCGTCTATAAAAAAATAATGTATAAGAATAGAATATATTAAAATAACTTAGTCCATTTCATATATATATATATATATATATATATATATATATATATATATATATATATATAGACAAGAGGAAAACTTATTTTGATGGACTTTATCATATTGTCCTTTCACAGAGAGATTATATGTGGAATTTTACACACACACATACACAAACACACTCTCAAACACACGCATATATATATATATATATATATATATATATATATATATATATACATACACAGGGTGCGAAGGGTAAAATTGTCACCATTTATATTTTTAATTTCGCGCATGCGCCTTGTTAGTTTTGATTTTGTCGGCTGCACAGTATAGAAAAAAGAGAACCATGACACAATTCACTCTAACAGAAATTTGGAAACGTCATGCTCTACTGCTTAGCATTCGGACCGGAAGCTCCAACACGAACATTTCAGAGTGTTTGGGTGTCAATTTGAGGATCTTGCAGAGGATTCGGAAAGTGTTGGATGAGTCTAATGGGAATTCCGAAGGTGTTTGGAGCGATCATTAGTGATGGCGACGTTATGCCTTCATTCATCTTCCTATATGTCCTCAAATTGAACACTAAAAACTACATCCAGAGCCTTGAAAAAGTAGTGTTGCCCTGGTCAAGAGGGCGGCTGCTGGAAGATCCTATGTCTGGAAACAGGACTCCGCACCATGCCACACAAATAGGAGAAGCTAGTCATGGCTCTCAGACAATTTCTGTGACCACATCAATCTTTACATCTGGCCATCTAACTCGCCGGACTGTCGCCTCCTTGTTTATTATGTATAGCGTGCAGTTGAGAGAGCGACCAACAAAATTCGTTGTAACACCAAAGATGAACTGAACACCAGGATTATGGCAGCATTCACCAACTTAAACAAGGAAGGCGTCCAAAAGAGTTGCTGGAGGAAACTGGTTGAAGCCAACAGCAAATTTATTGAATAAATTTACTGTTTAGTATTTCAATA